GAACGCATTAAACAGAGTTTAATGCGTTCCTTTGGGTTCTCCCCCCCACATAGCGACGAATCCGGATAGCGATGTTAATCCTGGAACGGATTAACGTCGCTATGTGGGGCACCACTGTAAATAGATAAATAAATAAATAAATGTGGTCGTCCCTTTGCTGAGCATAGCTATACCTATTTAATTTGGCGCAGATGAGTGAAAATTATATTTCAGTTCATTTTAAAAGAATTTCCATAATTTGCAACTCACGTATACAGGATGCAAAGAATTTGACTTTTAAAAAGAAATCCTCTCTCTCCATTTCTGTGTCTAGTGGTCTCTTTCACTGCTAACAGGATGTTTCTTAACCTTCCATTAAGCAGCTATTAGGTGGTAATGTTGATTGGCGCAGATGAGTGAAAATTATATTTCAGTTCATTTTAAAAGAATTTCCATAATTTGCAACTCACGTATACAGGATGCAAAGAATTTGACTTTTAAAAAGAAATCCTCTCTCTCCATTTCTGTGTCTAGTGGTCTCTTTCACTGCTAACAGGATGTTTCTTAACCTTCCATTAAGCAGCTATTAGGTGGTAATGTTGATTTTAGTTGACCCGTATCTAGAACTCTCTCAACCAAGAAAGTTCAAGAGTTAAGAGAATACATCATGTTTTTGGTGGTGGTAGTGTTTCTGGCAAGGCCCTCAGCCTCACTGAGCCACCTATGGGAACAGTATCTAGAACTCTCTCAACCAAGAAAGTTCAAGAGTTAAGAGAATACATGATGTTTTTGGTGGTGGTAGTGTTTCTGACAAGGCCCTCAGCCTCACTGAGCCACCTATAGTATGGGAACAACAGTAATTACTATTTTGCATCCCCGTATAAGTGGGGGAAAACCTCTCCAGCATGAAAAACAAATCTGATCCTCACAATATAATATTCTCATGTATTCCCTGTTTTCTTGCAGGAATGCCGGACAAGGAGAATAGTACTCTGTGCTCCATTTCGAAAAACAGCAGTAAGGTAAATACTACTCTTTTTTTGCTTATTTTGGTTGGAACGAAGAGGTAGGCAACATCAAAATGTAGGTAAATGTAAATAACTTTTTGATAACACGAATAAAAAGCAAATGTTTCAGTTGCTGATAGATTTTGAGCAGTGGCACTGTAAGGTGAATAGAACTACCTGCCTCCTAAATTGGATGGAGCCCCAGGAATGTCTAGGCCCCAGTCAATGAGTACACTGCTGACCGGAGTTGGCAGAACCAAAGTCAACCTTTTAAAAATTGTGTTTTCGCACTGACGCAGTCCTTTGCAAGTGCAGAAAGGAACAGGCAATTTCACGCCTGTGTCAGTGTACTCTATGCCCCCCAAAATATACCATGGAAAACATGATGCTAGTTGACCCAAATGCTTTTGATGTTACCCTTTGTTGAATTAAAATTATTTGAAATACTTATTAATTGTACTGTGGTGTTTCTGACACAAGCAAAGAAAGGAAAGCTATGGCAAGACAAATTAACCATAACAGAAGGAAATTTTTATTTATTTATTTATTTATTTATTGGCTTTTTACCCCGCCCCTCTAGACAATGCAGTTATTACGAAAAAAGAAAAAGAAAATCTAGATTAAGGTGACCGTGTTCGTTATGGTATTTCTGCCAGTAAAATTGTGGACGTTTTCAGGTGATAAGTCATCAATGGGAAGGAAAGAGCTTAAAGACCAAAAATATCTGTGTATTGTGTCCAATAAGGAAGCCTTGGGAGAGTCATTCCAACCTTTGAGAATGGGGGTGGGGAGTAGAATAGCCTGCATGAATTGTATCGTGCAGAAGTGCCCTGGGCCTCTGGGGAAGCGCGTACAACCAGGATGGGAGTTTCCAGCACCTCATTTTTTGGTCTAGACCAGGGATGGCAAACCTTTTTGAGGCCGAGTGCCCAAACTGCCAAAAAAAAACCCCAAAAACCAGCAGGCGGCAGGTGGCAATGGCAACGGAAGCGGAATGGCAGTAGTAGAAGTGGCAGCAGAAGCGGGAATCCCGGGCACGGAGGTGCCTCCAGACCCCACTCCGGATCCTCCTCCAGTCGTGCCCAACCCTGCCACCACCTACAGCTCAGGCAGCCAGCCACTGCTACCTGTTCCGGATCTTGGCCCGCCACCTGTCGGGGCACTAGCTTCAGCCGCCGCCTCAGGTTACGGCTCATGTGCCCACAGAGCGGGCTCTGCATGCCAGCTGTGGCACGCGTGCCATAATTTCGCCATCGCTGGTCTAGACTTATTTTGAGGTTACTTCTCTCATGCTGGTGATGAACTGTCTAACTGGGCAGGAAGGCCAGTTTTACATATGACTTCACACAATATATTTTAACTACCTGGGGGGAAGTTTCAATTGCCAGGAGGAGCCTCGGAGCAGCCATATAGCAGCATTCAGCTGTGTCTGTTCTAGTAACGGTGCAATGGGTTCTAAGTGACAAAGGAAAATAACGTTTGGCACAACATTATCATGTTGCCTGAATGTTAGGTTACAGCAAATGGTTATAGAAAAGTCTCAGGTTTTATTTAGTTGCTTATGTGTTTATTTCAGTTTCCATACTGCCTTTCTCCCAGTGAAGGGACCACAGGTGGCTCACATGTAAAAAAAACAAACAAACCAAGTAAGACCGCAGCAAATTATGACACCAAAACCAAATGAACATATAACACTATTAAAACAGTTTTGCATTTTCCTATAGGAGGTTGTATCAAATAATCACTTGCAGTGTGCAGTGATCAGATAGGTTTACGTGGTGTATGTCCTGTGAACAAGCCTTCCCTTTTGTATCGAAAGAAGTGTGTGATCACTGAAGTGATTCCATACAACAGCTGCACATTATAATAGATAATGCTTTCATCTCTGACACTGATATGGTAAGGATAAGAGAAGTTAATTTGTGTTATTTTATTACATCATTTCACTCTTTTTTTCATTGGCCAGGAAGAAGTACATACACGGTTTTCTTCCTTTTGTGAAGAATCAGTATTTTAAAAAGTCTATAGTATGATAAAACCAGAAAAATGAAATGGGACATTTTACTCAACTGAGATGATCTGCTTCATTTAAAAGAAAACACACGTTTTTTTTCTTTCTTCTTACACCCGTTCAGCACTTCCTTTCAGTCTACCCTACTTCCTTATCCAGACTGCTCTTTATAACCTTTAATAATCCCACAGACATCCCTGCATATCTGTGTTTATCCTCCTGCCTTTTGCTGTAGGACTTCCTGTCCTGTCCTTATCCTGCGTGAAAATAAACACTTTGGAACAGAGGTAACCTGTGGCACTTTGATAGCTGCTTCCATTGTTGTGAGTAACACATGAAGAAAGATCAGGGTAGATCACAGGCCACACTGTTCTGTGAAGGGGCTAATTTTGGGAGGTCTTTGGATACAAAAGATCCTACCTCAAAGCAAATTATACTTGGAGTTGCATTTCAGGAAGTTTTTATTAAAATAAAATGTGATTTTTCCAGAAACAACCAACATTCCCTGCTGGTGACTCAGAAGAACTGGTTTAATCACAAGAAGTATCTTCTGTTGTCTTGATGCTATTCTTTCACACACACATATATATATATTCCATCTCTGCCTATGGGAAAGTATGCAGAGTCCCTATGGCAGATGTAGGCAGTGACAGAAAGGACCATGCCAGTCATTCCAGAGGATTGCTTTGATTAGAAGAATCAGGTGTTTGTGCTTCCATATTCCTCCTGCATCTGTTCTACATTCATATCTACTCATCAGGTGCAAGGCTGCATGCTCTGCCCACTGCATCTCCCCATATTTTTCGGAGGCTACCACATGAAATACATTGGTGGATTGTTGACAGATCTCACAGCTAGTGCGATCTGGAAACCTGTCTTCTGGTAGGAGCTCAGAATGACCTGAAGTGATGATTCAGATTGAACTCCGATCATATGAATGGTGCCTTTTCGTCCTTGGCCCCCTTTTTTGAGCCATTAATACTTACCCATATTCCAAATGTCTAGAACTGAATTGTGTATATATGAGGGGGGGAAAGACTGTATCAACACAGAACACTGATGTGCAAACTGTGGAGGAGTCTGTGACTAACACATCTGTGACAGATTCGTTTTGGCATATGTGCAGGTCTTCAGTTTGTCGTTGGTTTGCTCCTTACATAAGATCAGGTATTGAAGCACAGTGAGATTTAAAGTGTTGAAACGTACCAAGGTTTGAGTAAGTTGCTCTTACATAAGCCAGATGGTGAAAAGCCCATCATGTCATCAGTGATGATATTGCTACCCACTCTCTTGTCTCTGAACACAAGAAATTCAGGAATAGTTTGGATCATGAAGAGATTCCCACAATACAGAGGGAGTGTTGCTCAACTAAGATCTATGTGTATGAAACCCCAGAAAATCTTTTGAGACTCTTTTAGCCTTTGAGAATTAATTTAGCTTTAACTTTTATCTCATGATACAGAATCTTGCATTGTGAAATAACCTCAAACAAGTGTTTTGGTTCAAAGCAAGGACGAGCAGCTTATAGCCTTCTGCTCCTGTTGTTGGACCCTAACACACATGAGTGCTAGCCAGCATAGCCATGATCAGAAATGATGGGAGCTGAGGTCGAACAACATGTGAAGGGCTGTGTTTTGCCTGCCACTGGTTTATCATTTGTCTCTTGAGTGGGGTTGAGCTTCTGGGAGTAGAAAGAATGACTGGGGAACTGTGGGCCCAATTGAGGCTTAGGCCAGGACAGATTAAGCCAGGAGTCCCAACTCTCCTCTTATAAATGGACTGAATTTGCCTACCATTGTATACACTGCAATTCCAGTCATCTGCTGGAATTGCAGTGGTGGAAGCACAAATTGTTGTAGTGAGACAAGGAGGAAGCACAGAATGTTTTTTTTGGGGGGCACACATATGGTGGATAGAATACACCTTTTAAATTCTGGTTAAAATTCAGTAGGACACCTTTATTTATTTATATGAATTATATATCCTTTCTTTCCCCCAAAACCCGGATTTATGGAAGCTCAAAACAAGATTCAAAAACAAAACACAATGGGCTATTGGGTCCAAACAGCAGTTTAAATGCACTTTGTTCAATGTAAAGGGAAGCAAAAAGATCATTCTTGCTTTGATTAAAACAGTTCTGGCAGGCCCATTCTTTTCACTGAGAATGACCATAAAAATTATAGCCTCAGATCAGTCAAAATATCTTGTATACATGCGATGGAGTTTCACCTTTGCAGCACTTTATTGAATCTGTGAAGAGCAGCTATAGCAGCTATTTGGCTGTGGCAAAGGAGCAGGAAAATGACAGGAAAATGAGACATCATTAGGTGTGTTCCAGTCTTTCTGCATGTATTTGCGTATGCACCCTCTTCTATTTTACCATCCTTTTCTTCCTGACATTGGCTGTGATCTGTCATTTTTTGGTAATGGTCACCCTCTTTTGTGATGTTTTGTTTGTTTGTTTGTTTATTTAAAAATAAAAGCATGCACAATTTGTTTGAAACAGCATATTAAAGAATGTGTGCTTCATGCAGCATTCTAACATATTGCCTACACAGATGGTGTGATTTAAAAGGATAGACTTGAGCACGTTATTAATGTTATTGTGTATATATGTTATTAATAAATATAGACAGAGTAAAACCATGTTGAATGTATTTTTTGTAAATAAAGGCAGGGTGATTTTTTTTCTCCAACTTGCACATTTTAAATAGGGGCCAAAAGTGAATTTTACAAAAGATACTGCCTCTTTTATATAAGGGGGGGAAACAATCATATGTAAAGTCTGTTTTGGCCCCTTCTTTGGAGTCATAGTTTTAACCAAAAATTTGTTGTTATGTGCCTTAAAGTCAGAACTGAGTTGAAGTGACCCTAATTGGGTTTTCAAGGCAAGAGAGGCATTTAAGGTGTGGTTTTACAAGTTCCATATCTTCAGTGGCTGGGTAGGGATTTGAACCCAAGCCTCTTGAGTCCTAGTCCATTACGCTAGTCCATCAGAACTGCTGGAGCAAGAGGTTGGGAGTTCGATCCTCCCACTGTGCAACCTGTCTGAAAGACCTTATCTCCCCCTATGAGCCTCCTCAGGCCTCAAGGTGCTCAGGGGATGCCCTGCTCTCAGTCCCACTGCTGAGAGAAAGTATTTGTGGTAGCAATGTGAGGTTGGGCCTTCGCTGTTGTTGCTCCCAGGCTATGGAATGCCCTGTGTTGGCTCTTCCCAGGTAGCCTTTCTGGATAAGCTTTTAAGAGCTGGTTGGCCAGCGAAGAGTTTCGATTTGGGGGTACTGCACATTGTTATTATTATTTTAACATGTGTTTTAAGGTGTTCTTAGCTAACTGCTCTAATGCTATTATCTGTTTACTATTTTTAGTGGAACAATTTATTGTGTTTTTAATTGGTTTGTTTTTAAAATAATTTGTGACCTACCTCAGGTTCCTTCACAGCAAGAAAAGTGTCATAAAAATGGAATTTATTTATTTATTTATTTATTTATTTATTTATTTATTT